TTTCCGCGCCAGGCAGAATGGGCGCGGCAGTGGAAATGTGCTAGAGCACAAAAAGAGAGTCACTCCGACTCAGAAATCGGGTCTAGCGAGGAGGCTGATGCCGAGTCCGTGTGTGACTCTCACGATGACTCTCACGATGTCCCTGCTCAATCGAGGATGGTAGTGAGTGGCTCTCGGAGCGACTCCCCCGCTACTGCGGGCTCCACCCTCATGGATCCATCTGGGGAACCCATGTTTGACCCGGATGCTGTCCATCATCCGAGGTCGGCGGAATGGCTCCCAGCGTACCATGTGGTACGATACCTGGATTGGGTACGGCACCCCCTTCGTAAGGCGGCGCATAACAAACTCAGGACAGAATGTCCAAGACCTCTGGTGCCCAGCAAAGTCTGTTAGACCCCTATAGTCGATCCTAAGATGACCCAATTCCTCTCCAAGTTGGGTTGGAATCCCCGCAAGGGCTTTGATTCGGCACTAAAATCATGCCAGGATAAACACCTGGACATATTTGGTCCTTTGGCCAAACTATTTGACCTGGCTGAAATCGCCAGAGCCAAAAACAGGCAGGTTGACCAGGAGAAACTCCGTGGCTGGGTGCAGAGGGCAATCTGCATAGCGGGCAGTGTTAACACCTCCCTGTCCATAGAACGGCGTAAAGCCATTCTTTTTAAAATCGAGCCAAAACTCGCCAACCTCGCATTCACAGAGGCGGACAAGGATGCCCAGGGCCTGTTATTTGGGGACTCCTTTATAAAGGACCTTGGGAGCTTTGTGGGTGCTTTTACAGTCCTGGATCACGCCCAATCCTCTACGAAGAGGGTATTTCAGGGGCAGGTCTCTACCAGGGCCGGCAGATTCAGGGGACGTCTGTCCGGCCGTTCCAACTACCACGTGGATCGGGACGAGGCTCCTATACCTAGAGACCACCCTACCAGGAGACGAGACACCAGTCCCCTTTCTTCCCCTCTCATAGAAGACCATGGCGCTCCAGAGGCTTCATTGGGAACTTCGGTTCCAGACACCCTTACGGTAAGCTAACATCTACCTCATGTTTTTTTCCAATATTTGTGTAGGGGGCAGACTCCGTCATTCTTTCCAAGCCTGGTCAACCATCACCTCCGATGTCTGGGTCCTGACCACCGTTCAGGGGTTTCACATTAAGTTAGTCGACACTCATTGTGTCACATTCCTCCTCCTCGCCCTATTTCGCTCTCAGTGACCGACCGCGCCTTGATAGACGTGGAACTATCGGCCCTCCACGCGAAAGGGGCGATAGTGCTGGCCCCCATATGCTCCTTCGGGAGACTGGATGGCGAAGTTAGACCTCAAGGACGCATACTTGATGGTCCCAGTGACCGAAGCATCCAGGGACTTATTACGCTTCCTCTGGAAAGGCGACACCTGGCGCTTCACTTGCCTCCCTTTTGGATTCTCGTCAGCACCTTGGTGCTTCACAAAATTGATGCACCCTGCCATGGCTTGGTTGCGCAGTTGAGGAGTTTGGCTGATCGTCTACTTGGACAACATCCTCATCATGGCACAGGATCGTTCGGTCCTCCTGAAGCACCTGCAATGGATGATCGATCTTCTCTCTCACCTGGGTTTCCTCCTAACTGGGAAAAATCCTGCCTGTCCCCTTCGCAATGCATGGAGTTCCTCGGGTTCACCGTAGACTCCTCGGGTTCAGCTTCCCTCTGTCCAAGATAAGGACCATCCACAAGGAATTATGCCGCGCTCTAGCACGCCACCAGCTATTGCTGCGTCATCTGGCATGGATAATTGGCCTACTGGCTTCATCAATCCAAGGGGTGTTCCCAGCCCCTCAGTCTGAAGATTGCACACCTTTGCAGTGGGGTGTCCTATGCAGACATGGTCTCTCTGGACTCGGAAACTCGGGACAAATTGACCTGGTGGATCCACAACTTCTCGGCTTGGAATGGCAAGGCCATCTTCGGTTCCCAACCAGAGTTCACGGTGGATTCAGATGCAAGTTTCCACGGTTGGGGTGCCCACGGTGTGACTACCGGGGGACGCTGGTCGGACGACGAATCAGGTCTGCACAACACTCATGCGCACTGGAGTTCATGCTATCTGTCAGACAGCAGCGATAGGAAATCGGATGTAGAGGTGTTCTCCACTATCTTGTCTCTCTGGGGGCCTTTTGCCATCGACCTCTTCACATCCCGGATCAACACCCAATTACCTTGGTTCTACAGTTGGAGCCCAGATCCAGACGCACTAATACAGCTATTTGGTCAGTTTTTGTATCCGAGTTTTCCAGTTACCCCGGCGTTATGTCCAGTGACCTGTTTGCCGGAATTTGAGCTTTGGGCAAGTGCACATCGTTTGGTTTCGTCCCCTCAGCTTTTTCTCTCGGTTCGTCAACCCTTTGCCCCTGTGTCCAGTACTACCTTGGCTTGTTGGGTGAAATGGACGATGTCGCTGGCTGGTGTGGATATGTCCATCTTTAGTACCCACTCCTCGCGGGGGGGCATCAGCCACGTCTATGGTGGCTTCGGGGGCGCAACTGGAAGACCTGATGAGGATGGTGGACTGGTCCCATGAATCCACTTTTCGTGAGTTTTACTTTTGGCCTTCACCTCATGTTTTCTCTTTTGTTATTGATCAGCTTTAAATTTGCAATATGAGCCTCTGTGTCTTGACATAAAATTACATGATTTTGCTATTTCATGCAGAAAAGTCATGATTTTATGAAAGACACGGAGGCGATTATTGTCCCACTATTTTATGTTTCTTTCACTTTATTATCCCCCCTTTTGTTTTTCTCTAAGGTATGTTTCCAGGAGATGGAAGGTATTTGTGATGCACTCTGTGTTATATTACCTCTTATGTGCATCTGAACTGTTAATGTTATGTTTTGTCTGGAGGGTTTTGTCTTACGTTATGGGCACTGTGTTGCTTCAGTTTATCAATACATTATGTCTTGGCATGCCCAATTTGGTTTAAGTACCTATTTAAGCGTTTGGCTCCTGTTTTTATGTTTTCACAGGTTGATTCTGTGCTGTTTGGGAGATCTTCACTACTTCCCACAAGGCTTCACCACGTTGGCTGGAGGTCTATGGATCCTGCTGTGATGTGCTCCTCACTGTTGGCGTCTCTCTGTTCGTTGATGGATTGGTCCCAGTTTGCTTATGGTTCCTGATCGGTGTCCGGCTGCATTTAAAGGACCACTATAGGCACCGAGACCACTTCAGCTTAATGAAGTAGTCTGGGTGCCAGGTCCAGCTAGGGTTAACCCTTTATTTTATAAACATAGCAGTTTCAGAGAAACTGCTATGTTTATAATATGGTTAATCCAGCCTCTAGTGGCTGTCTCACTGACAGCCTCTAGAGGCGCTTGCGTGCTTCTCACTGTGAAAATCACAGTAAGAAGACGCCAGCGTCCATAGGAAAGCATTGTAAATGCTTTCCTATGAACTGGCTGAATGCACGCGCGGCTCCTGCCGCGCATGCGCATTCAGCCGATGACGTCGCTATGAAGGAGGAGAGGAGGAGGAGAGCTCCCCGCCCGACGCTGGAGAAAGGTAACCCCTTCCTCTCCCCAGAGCTCGGCGGGAGGGGGTCCCTGAGGGTGGGGGCACCCTCAGGGCACTATAGTGCCAGGAAAATGAGTATGTCTTTTAAGCAATACTCTCCTCCGTGTCTTTCATAAACTCATGACTTTTGTCATGAAATAGCAAAATCATGTAATTATACAGACTCTCTTAAGCAGGGGTACCTTAAAGAGTGCAAGATAAAGCACGATATTGTCTACAGCAACAATGTTGCGATATGACTCATAAGATAGAATGTTGCTATTTCAAGCAGAGATTGGACAGTGTGTCTTATGCAGCTTCAAAATTATGAAAGTTGTTTATAACAAACTGTTAAGTCTTTTTGTTACTGGCAGAGACTTCAACGTATGTTGTCTCCTGCAGCATTGAGGAAATGAGTAAACAAATTATACAGACTTCCTTAAGCAAAGGTACCTTAATGAGTGTAAAATAAAGCACTGTGTTAACTAGAGTAACAATGTTGTAATATAATTCATAAGATGAGAAGTTGCTGTTGCTTCTGCGTCAGACTGCCAGTGCCGTGAAGCCCTCAACAGGGATGCCTCCTAGGTAAAGACCGGGATAACCCCCACCGGTCCAGTGGTGGGGAACAGGGCGCTTGAGTGTGATTCCGGCAGCTCTCTGGGTTGTCCCGATGTGAGATCGGCCACCTCTCCACTCGTCAGGGCCCACCAGGCCACAGATCAGTCTCTCTCTAACCGGAAGCATGTAAGGCAAGTAAGTGTTGCTTATATAGAGTTCGGGTATGTTTGGATGTCTTTGTGAATTTCTGATCAGTTGTTTTTTTGCGCTTGGGTCTTTTTTTACTTTAGAAGCTCAACTGACTTTATGGATTTTAAGTACACAAACAGACACTCAAAGAGTCAGGAGGTGTATAGGCGCTTCAAATAGTATATAGGGTGTATGTATATACAGGTGTTCCCAATCACCTTTACAATCCAAATAACAAATAAACGTGATAATACAATTACCACATTAATACCACACCCAATGTGACACTTATATGTGTATACTTCCCACTAATAACGTCTAAATGACAATAGCGGAATTTCTTCCTGGGAGATCTATAAAAAAAAAATATTGCCACACATAGTGAAATCTGTATATAACAATATTAAAGAAAGGTAATATGATGCGTCAACTCACAAGCATAGAGCCGTATCAGGCTCTATATGATGAGCGTCAGGCTGCCAATAACTGGCTTCGGAGGTACTCCAGAAGCAGGATCAGTAGTAAAAAAATGTTTTTATAACATCAATAAAAAGCAAAGTAGAAAAGGACATACATAAGAAGTGTGCAAATATAATACACTACCGCAAATAGTATAGTAAATAGTGATGTCCCGAACGGTTCGCCACAGATGGCGAACATATGCGCTTTTGGTCCACCCCCTATTCGTCATCATTGAGTAAACGTTGACCCTGTACCTCACAGTCAGCAGGGAGGGAGGGTCTGCTACTGATTGGCTGGATCAGTAGCAGACCCTCCCTCCCAGACCCTCCCACCTCCTGGACAGCTCACTAAGAATGCAGCTTCACAATGAATGTAAAATGGATGCTGTCCAGGAGGTGGGAGGGTCTGGGAGGGAGGGTCTGCTGCTGATTGGCTGGAATGTGTCTGCTGACTGTGAGGTACAGGGTCAAGTTTACTCAATGATTTTAAGGCTGAACTGGGGATACAAAGCAGCCCTGGAAAACAAATTTGTGCCAGCCCCATAAGTCACTGCGCCATATATTGTCGCGTGTAATATGTAAGGCTATGTCTTGCCAGGACAGATGATTGAGTAATATATATATATATATATTGCTTTTTCTAATATAAAATATTGGTCCTTTCAGGGTAAAACGTTTAATTATACAGTAAGCATACGCAGATGCAGACACAGGCAATTTCACTGACATTTCAGTGACACACACAAGCTCATTGATACACAGCCTCATAGACAAACAATCTTACTGATATACATCAGCTCATTGACATAAAAACACAAGCTCACTCACTAGCAGGCACACACATGCAAGCAAGCTCACTCACTAGCAGACGCACACACACAGCTTAATGTGGTGGTACTGGTGTCTATAGCATGTCCTACAGGCTTTTCAACGTAAACACTGACTTTTCAGACAAAAGGCAGTGTTTACATTGCTTCAAAGTGACACTGCTAGTGACAGTCACTCAGACGGTCACTAGAGGTGCTTCCTGTG